AGAAATGGCCAAGATTTCCGCTTATGTGAAGGATCACTCGCAAGAAAGATATATTTTGGTTTGGAGAAGATGGATAGATTATATTGAGCGTAAATATGGGACTAAAAAATATCATTTGGTTTTTGAGTAAATTTTAGAGTATTATGGTTGTATAAAGGTTAGAATATTTTATTTAGTATTATTTTTAATTATTAAAGTGGTATTATTATTGTTTTTAATAATTGTATTGTTTAAAAGAGAGTTAAAGGTTATAGATATGTTATTTTAATAGTTGATTAATGTTAATTAGAGTATGGTTATGTTATTGTTAACCCTGTGATTGGCACTGGGAAGTGAGGGGAAGGGGGGGGTGGAAGGGTAGGAAGGGGAAGGGGGGATTTATATTGTAAAATTTTATAAAATTTTTAATTAAAAAAAAGAGAGAGATGTGTATCATCTTCATATGCTTCCATTCTCTGGATGGACATGAATAGTTGCAATTTTTTTCCTCCCTTCTGACAGAGGCCGCAGCTATCTCAGAAGTACTTATTCTCAAGCCCTACTCATTTCCAAATGAAAAATGTAGGAAGATACAAACAAAATGTAGTAAGTTGGGCATATTACCATAGGTGTTGACAATATACCATTTCAAAACTAGACTTGTATGCTTAATGCACGTTGTCAAATTATAAACCATCTGTGCAGTAACTAAGCATAACACAGGTAAAAAAAGTCAATGGTCCTGAACACAGGCCTCCTCCATCTACATTCAAGCAATGACTCTCAAATTGCAAGTACAATGCTCTGCAAGGACCATGTTCACATTGAGAATGTGCTTGTGTACTCATTTCAAGATGCTTCTTTTCTTATTCAAATCAACAAACATTTGGAACTCAATCAGGATATTTTTATAACAGAGAAATAAATGACTAATTCACTGAATTTTAGATGTTTTAACTTTTGTAGTGCCAGATGCTTTGGTCATATCAGACCAATTTTGCAAGGCCTACTGTCAGGCACAAAAAACAAGTCCACATGTGAAGGTTCAATTTAACTCTTATTGCTAAAAGCCTATGCACAGGAATCTTCTCAACTAACAGTCAATGCCTGATTAGAGTTAGATAAGCCAAGGGAGGGTTGGACTTAGTTTGTTGTGGCTATCTAGGCTGACCCTTTTTTCCATCCCTCCCCCTAGTTCTGCCAGTCCTTCTCCTACACCTAAATTAGTTACTAATTTGTTTCCAGGTACAATTGAAGGTTCTAGTTTGACTTATAATGCCCCACCTGGCTTGGCAGCAGGTAAACTTCAAGGCTACCTTTTCCAACTATACTTTAACCCTCCAGCCTGCTTCCCATGGGCATCCTGCCAGGAGAAACTGCTTTTGGCCCCAATTTTCATGAGGGGACGACTTGAAAAACTAGAAAATGCTGTTTCCCCCATATGTTTAGTTATGAACGCCTAGAAGGAATGAAACTATACTCTTCCACAGGAACTTTGGAAGTCTGAAATTGGATTTTGTCATTGTAATTGAATAGTATTGAGCTTTCTTAAAATGATTTTGATCTGCTGGTACTATAATGATGTTGTGTTTTGTTGTAAGCTGGCATGAGTCAATTACAGGTAGTCCTTGACTTACAACAGTTTATTTAGTGACTGTTCAGAGTTACAACGGCCCTGAAAAATTTGACTTATGCCCGTTTTTCATAGTTACAACTTTGCAGCATCCCCATGACTATGTGATCAAAATCCAGAGGCTAGAGAACTGGCTCATATTTATGTCCTTTGCTGCATCCCAGGTTCATGTGATCACCTTTGCAAACTTCTAACAAAAAAAGTCAATGGGAAAACCAGATTCACTTAACAACCAGGTTACCAACTTATCAACTGCAGTGCTTCACTTAACAACTGTGGCAAGAAAAATCATAAAATGGGGCAAAACTCACTTAACAAATGTCTCAATTAACAACAGAAATTTTGGACTCGATTATGGTCGTGAGTTGAGGACTACCTGTATTTGGAAACCTCAGATAAGTGTATATGTAACTAACCAAAGAGAGAAGCAATCTAGAACTAAGGAGAAACTTCCTGACAGAACAATTAACCAGTGGAACAACCTGCCTATAGAAGCGGTGAATGCACCAACACTGGAAGTTTTTAAGAAGAAACTGGACAGCCATTTGTCCGAAATGGTATAGGGTTTCCTGCCTGAGCAGGAGGTTGGACTAGATAACCTCCAAGATCCCTTCCAACTTTATTATTATTATTATTATTATTATTATATTGGTATTTATTAGAATCAGTTTAATGATTAAAATCAGTGGAGTAGAAACTAAAGTTCTAAAATAGGCCAGCCAGCTGGATGACCTTGAGCCAGTTACTCTTTCAGCACTAGAAGTCAGTCACACATCACAAAATGTTGCAAAAAAAAAAAGCATGAACTTGTCTATATAGTTGCCATAAGTAAAAACTAACTTGAAAGCACAAACATATGTATCTACATATACACAAACACAAAACTAAACATTATTATATATTCTTACCGATTTGAGTCTATAAGATAAAAATATCGTGTCACAGTTACTTATGTAATATAGACTGTCAAAGCTATATTTACCTCAGCAAGCTGTTCCTTTGTGGAATACTGATTTGTTATGCCAGTAATCATACGTGCAAGTGAGTGTGAGCCAAAGTCAAATCTACAGGAAAAACAAAAAAAACCAATCACAAACATCAATAAAGTAAACAGTTTTGTAGGCTTCCTCAAAATAAAATAAAATGCAAGAACATGAAGGTCATACATACTTTTTTACAAGTTTCTGCCAGTTTTGTTTTAAAAACTTCCAAGCTAATTGATATCCATAAGGATTTCTTCCAACACTAAAAAGTATAGAAGGAAGTTCCTGGGTCTTTATTATGTCACCTTGCAATGCTTGATCCATTAACCTAAAAAGAACATGATTAAACAAGTATTTCAATTAAGCTTGGACACATGAAATATATGCAGGTTTGTTAAGAAAAAGATATCCCTTATTAAAGGGAGCAAGGAGTACAATAAATAATGCAGCTTTATAATTTGTTCTCATTGATTCGCCCAATGAATGGATATCTAGTACTCCTCCAAAGTAATGATGATCTAATTTTCTTGTCTAAGCCCCATCAGGCATTCTTGACAATATTGTTTCACAAAAAAGTATTTGATTTATCCCGTTTCTAAGTGACCCACACGCAAATGAATAAATTAAAAACAGTAATTTGTTTGGAAGTTTCTTCTTCTGTCTCTTAATATATGTATAGTACAATATATGCCAAACATAAAGGAAGTTCATATTTTGGAAAAGCTGATTGTGAATGTGGGTTAACATATAAAGACTTGCTAGCACAGGAAAATAGGGAGCTTAGGATGAAATCAAGAAAATAATTGATTGCAGAGGGATTTAGATTTCAATAGTTCTAATATGTGCAATTAAAATATTTAATATAGATTTTAAATGACCAGGAATAGAATGAGATAAAATGGAATTTAAAAATGAATTATGTACAAAAGATGAATATATTATTGCTAAAATGTAAAAAAAAATTATTGAGATTTGAAATGGAGGAAAAGCAAGTTAAAGGGTCTGAAAGTCTTAAAGTTCAATGCAAACTTTTTAAAAAATGATGTACCATTGTTACATGACCCCAGAGAAATTGTCTAAGGCGGTGGCCCCCAACCTTTTGGACACCAGGGACTGGTTCCATGGAGAGGTTTTTCCACAGATCGGAGGGGGTGTGGTTTTGTGTGCTGCCTGCATCCTGTGGATAAGGCTTCACTTGTTTGTGTGGGTGGGTTTCTGGCATGCCAGATTGGTGCCGGTCCACAGAGTGGGGTCCCCAAACCCCACTCTGGTTTGGGGACCCCTGGTCTAAGGTGTATAAAGATACTTCTAATCACTGTTGGAAATGTGAAAAACATGAAGAAACATTTTCTCATGCATGATGGACTTGTCAAAGAGCAAAAACATACTGGACACAAATGCAGTACAGATGGTGATGCAGAGAGTTTTAAAAATTAATCTTCAGATAAAACTAGAACTTTTCTTATTAGGTTTTATGAACACTCAATTAGAAGAGGCTTGTGTACAATTGGTCTTATATAGAGTAACTTTAAGGCTATTTATATGCACAAGGATGGAACGATACAGGTAGTCCTCAACTTACAACAGTTCATTTAGTGACCATTCAGTTACAACAGCACTGAAAAAAGTGATTCATAACTATTTTTCACACAACTGTCAGAGTATCCCCATGGTCACATGATCAAAATTCAGATGCTTGGCAACTGACTTGTATTTATGATGGTTGCAGTGTCCTGGAGTCATGTGATCACCTTTTGCAACCTTCTGATAAGCAAAGTCAATGGAGAAGCCACATTCACTTAACAACCGTGTTGCTAACTTAACAACTGTAGTGATTCACTTAGCAACTATGGTAGGAAAGGTTGTAAGATGGGGCAAAACTCAATAACTGTCTCGCTTACAACAGAAATGTTGGGCTCAATTATGGTCTTAAGTCAAAAACATCAATAATGGATGAATGGATTGTAAAGATGGCTGAGTTTACAGAAACAGCTAAATTGACTTGTTTGATTAAGGAGGGAACTACAACTACTTTTTTAAAAAGACTGGAAACCCTGTATAGACTTTTTGCTGAAAAAGAATCAAAATGAACTGCTGGTGTTTGTTTGTGGGAAGAAAGGAACTATGATATACAATATGGGAGGTTAGAGATGGTAATAGCCATGTTTATAACTACTGCAAAGAAGATTTTAGTTATTTTAGACATCTTTTTCTTGCTTTTTATTTATTCATTTTTTTACCCTTTTATAGTATTTTTCTGTTCTCTGTTTCTGTAGTTTTTAAAATCTTTGTAAAAACTTTTAATAAAAAATATTTATAAAAAAGCTGATTGTGAATGTAGCATGGCTTTTAATAAAATAAAATTCTACTGACAAAAGATAAATAAATATTCAGCAGGGCAAAAGATAAAGATGAAGAAAATATAGTCTGGAACAGAAAAGCTACTGTTCAGCTGTTTCCTACTCAGTATTAAAAAAACCTGTCAATTGTTCCTTATTCCATTCAAGTTTGAGCTTCTCACTGACCTCAAAGGAATAGTAATATAAAACTGAATTTCTGTCTAGCACACGTTAACATGTGCAACTAATGTATAATTAAACAATTATAATTTGGTTATAATTGTCCCTCAGAAACAGTTACTGCATAACTATTAAGTCAATGCCCCAACTTTTTGGGCACTAGGGACCGGTTCCATGGAGAGAGTTTTTTCCGCGGATTGGAGGGGGCATGGTTTCATATGCTCCTGGTGGGATAAGGCTTTGCTTGTTTGCATGGCCCGGTTTCTGGCATGCCACGAACCAATGCCAGGCCACGGACCAGGGGTTGGGGACCCCTGTATTAACTGATCATGAAAATGTTAAGAAATGGGTATTGAGAGAGCTGTAATGTTAATATATGAACCAGTTCCTTTGAATTTAAAATCACCCATGTTATTTGAAGAATACTTACCACTGAAGCTTTTCTTTGTTTTGGCTCAAACACAGTACAACTTCAATCTGATTCTTTTCAGTATCAAATTCAGGTAACTGATACTTGCTAAAAAGGAAATCCCAGTTTTCATCTGTTTGTATTCCAACAGCATATACTGCCATCTTAATGTTATTCGGCAATCTGTAACAAATTGTGCTCATATTATTCTCTGAGAAAAAAATATTAAATTACTGCTATTTATTTGATTCAATTTGCAAAGTACATCTCCCACCAAGCAGGATTACAGACCCCTGAATGGTTGTCTCCTTCCTGAAGACAGAAGGATATTGTTTAAGCACCCTTAAAAAGTGAAATACATACTTCAGAGTTCCATCTGAGTTCTTCCATTTCATGAAGTACTCTTGTGCCTTGTCTACACATGGTTTGTATTTGCGTACACATGCAAACATAAGTAAGGAGGTTCGAAGCATTTGCTCAGACACGGTACCTTCATCATCCCAAGACTGTTTGTCAATCATATTTTTAAATAGATTTACTATGTATGCCTAGAGCGATTTGTGAAATTAAAAAATCAGGTTGTAATAAATGTTAATCAATTATTTAAAGCAGTAACTAACAATTTTGTTATTCAATCAAAAATCATATATTCCTTGTATCTTTCATAAATCAGAAACCAAAATCTGGATAGGATGTATACTCCCTATGGTTTAAGGAATAATTTCTTTTAATAATAACATAGAAATTATTTCATATATGTAAACTTGTTTATAAAATTGTAATTATACATGTATATGCATGCCTATACATTATTCATTAGAGTAGTCATAACGTCACTGTAGTCTATACAAAGAAAAGAGATTCCAACAAAAGAAAACATCTGTAGCTGAGGGTTGAAGTATGGAATCCTTGGCACAGTTTGAGCTTGTTGTTTGCTTGGAGACATTTCATTACACTCATTACATTATCAATGAAAACGAAGTTACCTAGTTGGGCAATGAAAATCAATATCTTCTCAACTCCATAGAGAAGGAAGGACCTGTGAAAATTACCACTTGTTTCAACAATGAAAGTCTCTGCCTAACTGAAATGTTTTCCATAAATGGAAGGATTATGCTAGTTTACCGAAAAGACAATTTGGGGTTAAAGACTGTAGGTTGATGTGCAATAAATGCACCCTCCACATTCAATTTCCACAGTGCTTAACAACTTCATTAATATTCCAAGGCCGATTTAGATCAGCAATATATTTGCCCCTGCTCAATATAATAATGTTATGTTATCCTATTCTGCTGGAATCCATCTACAAAAAGTGTTACAGGTAGTCCTTGACCTATGCTTGGTCGCTTAGCAACCATTCAAACTTCTGATGGACCAGATTTGGGGTACTTATTCATATTTTTTACCCTCTTATAGTATTTTTCTGTTCTATGTTTCTGTAGTTTTTAAAATCTTTCTAAAAACTTTTAATAAAAAATATTTATAAAAAAGCTGATTTGTGAATGTAGAATGGCATTTAATAAAATAAAATTCTACTGACAAAATATAAATATTAAGCAGGGCAAAAGATAAAGATGAAGAAAATATAGTCATGTGGCTACATTTTAGACATTTGGCAACTGGCCCGCATTTATGGCCATTTAAGGATCCTATAAGTCACATGGCTACATTTTACAATATTTTTGCCAAAAAACAGGATTTACTTCTGTTTTTTGTCAAAACTGTCCCATGGCAAACCACTTAACAACCGTGCCATTAAGGACCACTGCAAAAAAGGTAGTAAAATCAGGTCAGTCATGTGGGAGATCCATTTTACAATGATTGTGACTTACTACCATGATGGGCAAGCTCCATTACTATTGTAATAGAGAACTATCTGCATTCTACAAAGAATTTATCTTTAATATTCCATTTTGGAATTCTTAAGTTTAAAAAGAAACAAAATAAAATTCATTTCAGATAGGATAGAACATATCAATTGATTATTTAAAAATCTATGTAAGTTTTCAGTTTTGTTCTGCCATAACTCTTTATTTTACCTTTAATTGTTGTTCTGTGTCACTTATGTTTGTCTTCTCCAACAGTTTGTATAAAGGAACTAGCTCATTCAGTCCTTGATATACAGGAGTAATTTCAGATTCATGTTTTAAGTATAATGTTAAATCAAGAGCTTTTTCAATTGACAGCTTTCCAGCACTGAGGAAATAGAAAATGTCTGTTTTAACAAATAAAATTTTTTTTTGAAGGATCTGAATCATCTTTCCTATGAATTTTCTAATTAACGCTGTACTATATATTAACTAAATACATTTTAGCTTTTTTCTTTTTACCGTGATTAAACACAAATTTGTTATCAGATGAAACAAATCTTTTTTTTGTAATGAAAAAAAATTAAAATCCAAAAAAGCAAACTATTGTGTTGTAGATAGTAAATGTACTGAAACTTAGCAATATGCTAGTTCTGACAGCTGATACACTACAGCTTCTCCCATGAAAGAGCTCTAAATTCTTGAACCATAGCTGCACTGGAATAGCTCTGTGGCCTTCAGCATACTTTCAGTTCAGTTTCCATCTGTAGTCACAGGCTTTTTATATAATGTTTTATATGGCCTTGGATTATCTTTAAATTCCTTGGAACAATTCTCAACTAGGGATATCAGAACAGTACAAGGGTACATAAGTTGTCTGACATGGTAATTGTCTGACATGGTAATTGTATTTCTCAATATACAACAGTTATTTCTTTTCTTAGGTCATGATATATCCTGCCTTTGGATACATTTAGATATTCTGTGTACTTCAATCAGTGCCTCCTGCACAAATGTGGAATATGCTTGTTTCTCAGAGAAAAACTCATCTTTCTTTTAAAGAAGTATCTTCTAAATGAGGTGCTTCTTACAGCAAGTATCCATGCCTGCTTATTTAATTCCTTCCTTCCCCAAGTCCTCAAATATTAGGCATGTGCAAATGTTTTAACTCTTACCTCACCAGCTGGAATGCATTGTTAATGAGGCTTGCTCGATCATTGCTGCTTATTGTTTCATGATTGTCTTTTAACAGGCGAATTAGAGAATCCCAGCCATGATCTCCATAATGCACAATATAATAACCATTCATTCCTACATTAAATTTTATCCACTCCACTTCTTCTGGGAGGACTATATCATCTAAAATCAAAATATATCACAATTCACAGAAACACCTGATGTATTTACATACATTACATCATTAAAAATAAAGATTTCCTGCATTAATACTCTTTCGAAAACATACCTTCAATATGTACCACACAATTGCTTTGTGGATATGCACCTGATTTTCCTAAAATACAATATTCCCTAAATTTTAAACTTTTCCAAAAAGTATTAATGTTTCTATAACTGATTGAAATTTATTATTATTTAGTAGAGTTAAGCAAAATGCTTTGTGAGAAAAAAAAATACAACCTCATTTGCCATTCCAGTCTCTGTTCCAAGTCAAAATGGTACATTTCAGGGTTGGGCCAACTTAAACATTTGCACAGTAATGTTTTGACTATAAAAATTTTTGTACACCTCTGTTGTTTAATGTTTGTAATCTTATGTAGGCCTCCATCATTTGAGTTAAACTTACTTGTTTTGGTTGTCAGTAAGAATCTCTGAACGTCATTACATTTATTGGTAATATATGTCAATGGAATGTGCCACAGACTCCTGAAAAACAAAATCAACACTATGATTTTTTTGATACAGATTGAATTATTTTGAAACGGATAAAATGAATGCATTTTAAAAAACTAAGATGCGTCACTTTGCAGGATAAAGGATATAAACATTAATTTGGGGAGCAGTGTGGTATAACAAGGACACATTTATCTAGGTGAAAATAATGTTGTGTACCTAAACAGAATTTAAATGGTTGACTCAACCTTCCTCCCATGTTAATGGCAATTATTACTGTTTTAACAATTATCTGATGTTTACTCTGGAGAAAAT